ATACCGCCCCTGTGTTCACCGAGTATGATCTTGCTGTCTAACAGATCGTGTATGACATCACCGACTTGTCGGACGCGCAATTTAGGGAAACTGGGGAGTGAATCAATCTTTTTCATAATTTGTTAATATATACAAGAATGTTAAATTTTTTTAATTTTTGATATATGATGGTAATTAAAGTTAAAAAAATAGTCAAAAAATTATACAAGAACTGATGCTTTACACGTTTTTGCACTTATATAAACGGAGATTATGACGTAGTTTTAAACAGAGTCATGTGACCATGCGTCCTTCATCCCCTTAATTAAAAATAAAATGTGAAAATCCAATTCGAGAAAGTCACAAACTTTTAAGATTTAACTGTAATTTCTAGCAAACAAAAATAATTAAATGAAAAGGGGGAAACAACTATAACTAAAGTGTTGCAAAAATATTGTTTTCAGGGGTATCTTCCTAACATTTTCTGTTAAGTCGGATTAGTGTGCGATGTACATTTGAAGGGACGGTAAAGTGAGAGAACAATAAAGAACGTGTTGTCGCTTGCATGCATGTTTGAAAGTTTGTTTATCAAATTTAAAGATTATAAAAATGAAAATAATTGCAGGTATATTTTCTAAGCTTTTTATAAACAATTTAAGAATAATTATTCGAAAACAACTTACATGTAACAAGATCATAACAATAAAAATTCATTTTCACGGAGTTATACTATATCTAAAACAATCTACATTCACTTCGCCTGGGTCAATTTTGGAGAGAGAGAGGGGGGGGGGGGCAACTCGGCACGGGAGATGGTAAGGACCTACAGTGTATAATCTTAATCTTATAAAAAGAAAGTGATAAAATATTAATCAAAACTGAAACGAATGAACAAATAAATAAATTAATACTAATAATAATGATTACGATTGTACATTGTACCAAGTGTTCACAGAAATTTGCACCATGCAAAATAGCAATAAATCCTTTTCATATATATTATGATATTGGGTTTTTCATGCAACTTGGGGAATATATATGTGTGCTAATATTTTAAGCGATAAACCGTTTTCTTAGATATAATGTTGTAAGTGACAAAATTAACATCTTGAAGCTCTAGAAATTTGCCACTGACATTCAGTAGGAAACTCACTTATGATCGATTGAAACCGGTAATCCCAAACAGCGGTATTTATGACTTTTACAGATAGATGTCCAAGAACATTTAGAAATGAAATTACCGATCAGTAATTATTTATGTCTTAGTAGATTTAGATTTTTTTTAACAAGAGGTGTCTGTCCTGTTGATTTAAAAATAACAATCCTGAATTTCCGATTGATGAAAACAGGAAATAATGCAAACTATACAATTAAAGACGGGTATATTTAGCATCCGTCTGTGAAGGAATAAATTGTTTAAAACTAATTTGTTGATTAATTAATTATTTCTTTAGATTGAACAGGGATAGAGTGCAATTATTCAACACATTTATTTAAACTTGATTCACACATTGTTAATTGTACATCGTATTCGTTATAAATTATTTTACAGATATTAATAATAAAATTCTTAGTTAAAAATTTTTAACTGTCTGGGAACTGAAACTTTTAAGCGATAAACCGTTTTCTTAGATATAATGTTGTAAGTGACAAAATTAACATCTTGAAGCTCTAGAAATTTGCAGTAAAGGAAAGACAGCACATGGTCAGTAATTGTCAGTAAAAAATGAGAATGTTAGTACGTGTCTGACTCAGTAGTGGGGATATTACTAAATACGTAAGGAAAGTTGATCGTGGAAAAACTGAAGTCATCTCGTTTGTCATTCAATTAAATTTTTAGTTGGCCCTTATCGTCTATAGTCAGTAGATCATCTAAATATGAAACAAATGTGAGAGACTTTGTAGTGACTCCCAGTACACTGGGATATACTAGTGTATCGAATCGACATATGAATGGCAATAACTATTGTTAATTGATAAAACATTGTCAATATATCTGAATGTCGAGTTGAAGGCCACAGCAAGTGTTGTCCTCTTCTCGTGTAAAAGTTTTTGAATAAATTCTGCTTCATAGGAATGTAAAAACAGGTCGGCTAATAAAGGAATACAATTAGGGCCAATCTTGAATTCAAACAGTTTGTTGGAAGACGTCTCCTGCGAAGTCTACATAAAAGTTGTCTATGAGGAACTCCAGCATCCAGTCATATGTTTGATTCTGTGCGAGCAATTGACCTGTAAATAAAATCGATAGCATTATCTTATAGTTTCTCGTATTAAAAACTTCATCTTTTATTTATAATTCTATTTATTTACAGTTTTATTTTCCTAGATTTATTGTAAGAATTGCCAGCAAATGTTTTATGAAGCTCAACGCACTCAACTTATTTCATCAAAAAATCAAATTGACATTTCATAGTTTAGTCGAGAACTTATATATAAACCAGTCTGATTTTACAGTAATGCTGTAATTAATATTCATCTAAACTGATTCGTCACAAGAGAGAGAGAGAGAGAGAGAGAGAGAGAGAGAGAAAGAGAGAGAGTGGTCACAGAAATTTGTATCATGAAAAATAGCAAATGAATCCTTCTGATGTACTCTAGATATTTTTCATGTAACTTAAGAAATATCTGTTCATATTTTAAGTGACAAACGCTTTTCTTAGATATAATGTTTTTTTTTCTTTTTTTTTTTTTTTGAGATAAAAGTAACGACAGAGTTGATTGATATCAAAACTCAAGAAATTTTCCACACTTCTATCGTTCAGTAAGGAACTAACTAATGAACTATTGATCCCAGAAATCCTAAAAACGGCGGTTTATAGCATGTATGTACAGATGTCCAGGGACATTTTAAAATAAAATTACCGATTATTAATTATATTTTGATACTTAAGAATTGGTGTTATTTTTTTTAACACGAGGTGCCAACCCTGCTGATAAAAAAAAAATTACAAACATGTACTGTGGAATCATTTTAATTCATTGGAGTCTATGCTCGTGGGTGGGCAAGCACAATTTTACTTGTTCGTGGCGACGTTATTTCGTGGGTTACTCATTTATACGGTAGATTCAATGAATCGATATGTTCACGAAATAATTGTTCGTGAGGATGCAAATTCGTGGGTAAGGGTGATCAACGAAATGCACGAACATTGCTCCCCAACGAACAATGATGATTCCACAGTATTTCCGATCGATGAATGAGGAAACAAAGGAAGCTATACATTTCAACACGGGTATATTTAGTCAGGGTTAGGAAAAGAAGCAAATGTTGAAAATAAATATGTTTAATTTATTTCTTTAGATTTAACAAAGAAAGGAATAAAATGCAATCATTCCACACATTTATTTAAACTTGGTTCAGGCATAATTTCTTGTATATCGAATTAATAATGAATTATTTTACAGATATCAATAATAAAACTGTTTGTTTAAAATTTCAACTGTCCAGGAATAAAAAAAAATAAAATAAGACTGTTTCTTAATTAAAACCATAATGCACACACATTTTCAAATCTCTGCAGTCTTCCCGAGAAAGAGAACAATAGGGCCAGTTTATCAGTAAATACTAGCACTGGCCCAAGTTTTCTGACTTAGTAATGTTACCCTTTTATAACCACCGATTCAGTGAAAACGGAAGTATACATATTTTGCATATTGCCTTTTAATTTTCTAACACGATTCATCAATATTTTTCATAATCACTTAATCTATTCTGTAAAATTCTAAGATCTTCCCTTTCATTTTTCGCCCAATATCTGACATAATTTTCGACAGAATTTAATATAAAAGTGAAGTTCTGTCACCAAGTAAAAGATCAGGTTTCCCTGTATTTAGGACCTTTCAAAATGATTGCTTATAGGTCGTCATTTTCAAATATTATTAATATCAGTAGTAATGACTTGTGCAGCGGTATTATAGCTGAAAGAAGAGAAGAGCAAAAATACTCATTATCTGTGAAGTGTAAGGTTTGTTTATAATTGAACATCTTTGAAGCAACAACTTTGGAATATCTGTAGAGAATGCAAGGTGTAGACTTCACAACATCTATTCATTTGTTGAGTTTAAGGAACCGGCGGGTTTAATCGAAATTATTATCTTCTATTATGACACTTACCCTGTGTTTATGTTTGCAGATATCTTAGCTTTTAACTGCATTTTCTTTTTATTTTCATTCTGAAAGTTAGTTGCTGTATATGACAAAATGATAGAAATGCTAGAACAGTGTGTCATTTCTGAATATCAGATGTGTAGATAATAATGTGGAAATTCAAGCATTTAACTTTTTTAACGTAAGAAAACGTAATGATACTATTTCAATAATTTATGATGGAATAGCACTACTTTTCCCAAAACAGGGGAGACTGAGGGCAGGAAACTCCAAATCTACTTCCCCAATGTCCATTCGTCCTTGGCTAGCAATAATTCCATGACACACAAACAATTTGAATCATGGAATAATCAAAGGTCCTTTTTTTCTACAGGATCATTATTCTACGAGCAACACATGGAATAGTGACCACAGGAATCAAATTTCCACAAAAGCAAATATGTATTGTACAATAAAGGGGTAAATTTTCTACAACAAGAGTAGACCACCCTGTCATCTTTCCATGGGGATCACTATTCAAGAATTTAAAAAGTTCATTTTCTGACCTCCGTGGGATTCTTTTTGTTTGTTTGTTTGTTTCTTTTTTTTTTTCTTTTTTTTTTTTTTTTTAAATTTTTTACTCTAGTAAAACAACTGTTTATTATTATCAACATTTACTATTTTTTTATCTAATTAATTCTACACTGCAATGGTGTAAAGAGATTTTTTTTAAGTAGCTATCCATACTTATTAATTATTATTATTATTATTATTATTATCATCATCATCATCATCATCATCATTATTATTATTATAGAAATCCTTGTTTTTATTTTGACAATCTGCTGAAAGTAAACAAAACTACCAGAGAACTGCAAGTTCGGAATGCACAAGGGGAGGGACTTTCTTGTCACTCAGAACATTTGCATGCATGGGTGAACAAAGAAGTCCCAGAAAGCAGTCCCAGGAGCTGTTTGGACTGCTAAGTTTGTTTTCTAGAACAGTCCCACAGCGGTCCGTGAGCAGTCCCACATTGTGGGAAAGCAGTGTCAGTGACTGGTTTCTGGGACAGCTTGGATGTCAGGTTGAGTCTGGCTGGTTCTGCATGAAATGATTTTCCAGATAATTACAATGGCAAACGTTATGAATATATAAAATTGAAAAGTTGGTAGAATTGACTAAAATTGTCTTGAATATGCTACAGCTGAGAATGAAAACGATATTTTTTTCCCTACATTTTGCATTTCTTGGGTGGTCCTTTACCGTGCTGTGCAGTATAGTCAGCAGCAATCATTGGCATCATTAGGTGACAAAAATTTGTCAGGACGTGAAATATTTATCCTCAACAAGAGGCCCATGGGCCACATCGCTCACCTAAGTAACTTTGTCCATGCTGTTCTTTGCCAGATTTCCCCCTTTTAATATACCTATTGTGGCCCGCCCTATCCCCGGGGGTCATGATTTGAACAATTTAGAATCTACACTACCTCAGAATGCTTCCAAATATGACTCAGCTTTATTGGTCCAGTGGTTCTTGAGAAGAAGATTTTTAAAGAATTTTCTTATATATTTCAAGATAAAACTTGGACTCCCTATTGTGTCCCGCCCTACCCCCGGAGGTCATGATTTGAACAATTTAGAATCTACACTACCCCAGGATGCTTCCATATAAGTTTCAGCTTTTCTGGCCCAGTGGTTCTTGAGAAGAAGATTTTTTCAGATTTTTCCTATATATTTCAATGTAAAACTTGGATTCCCTATTGTGGCCCCGCCCTACCCCCGGGGGTCATGATTTGAATAGTTTATAATCTACACTACCCCAGGATGCTTCCATATAAGTTTCAGCTTTTCTGGCCCAGTGGTTCTTGAGAAGATTTTTTCAGATTTTTCCTAAATATTTCAATGTAAAACTTGGATTCCCAATTGTGGCCCCGCCCTACCCCCGGGGGTCATGATTTGAATAGTTTATAATCTACACTACCCCAGGATGCTTCCATATAAGTTTCAGCTTTTCTGGCCCAGTGGTTCTTGAGAAGAAGATTTTTTCAGATTTTTCTTATGTATTTCAATGTAAAATTTGGATTCCCTGTTATGGCCCTGCCCTACCCCCGGGGGTCATAATTTGAACAATTTAGAATCTACACTACCCCAGGATGCTTTTATATAAGTTTCAGTATTTCTGGCCCAGTGGTTCTTGAGAAGAAGATTTTTTCAGATTTTTCCTATATATTTCAATGTAAAACTTGGATTCCCTATTGTGGCCCTGCCCTACCCCCGGGGGTCATGATTTGAACAATTTAGAATCTACACTACCCCAGGATGCTTCCATATAAGTTTCAGCTTTTCTGGCCCAGTGGTTCTTGAAAAGAAGATTTTTAAAGATTTTTCTTATATATTTCAAAGTAAAACTTGGACTCCCTATTGTGTCCCGCCCTACCCCCGGGGGTCAAGATATGAACAATTTATAATCTACACTGCCCCAGGATGCTTCCATATAAGTTTCAGCTTTTCTGGCCAAGTGGTTCTTGAGAAGAAGATTTTAAAGATTTTTCTTATGTATTTCAATGTAAAACTTGGATTCCCTAGTATGGCCCCGCCCTACCCCCGGGGGTCATGATTTGAACAATTTAGAATCTACACCTTTATTAACTGAAAGTACGTGCCCCTTGAATTATCTATTTATCTTGCAATTTGTGCACTTTTGGTCTTCTTTGAAAAGTCTGAATTAAAAATCTTCACTCTTTAAGATTTTTTATATTGCTTTTGTAAAGAAGGCACCCACGTCCTTCCAAAAGAATTTAAATCATAATAGATGGACACATCAGGTCATATTTTTCAAAGAAAATTAAGGTCTTCGGAGTTATTCACCGGGCCATAAGACTTTGATTCTTATAACTTAGTTTAGGAGCATCACATCTTTCCATTTTTTCATGATTAAAAGTTTTCCCTACTTTTAAAATAATTTTCATAGAACATGTTTTTTCTTAATTTAGTGTACCAAATTTATTAAAAAATATTTGATTCATTTTTCTTTCCATTATTTTGGGTAATTTTTCTAAAATAGTTTCTTAATTCAGGACTAATGAAATATTTTTTTAATGATTGTGCTTGCCTTCTTCTGTCTAATTTAACTTTGTCTAAGACAATGACAATATTTTTTTAATTGATTAATCTCCTATTCTACCAGTTAGTTCTGTAGATTCTTGTATAAAATTCTCTTCAAGACATGATTTCCCTTTCTAACTTCAGCTATTTTCTTTTCTTATAGGCTAAGTTGGGAGTTGATTTTCCCCTTATTTCAATTAGTAATGTACAGTACCAACAAGACCCAACCTGACACTCAAGCAGTCCCAGAAAGCAGTCCCCGGGACTGCTCTGGGACCGCTGGAACTCCTCTAGAAAGCAAAACCAGCAGTCCAAGCAGTTTCTGTGACTGCTATCTGGGACTGCTTTTTTCACCCATGCGTCAAAATGAAAAGAAAGCCCCGCCCCTTGTGTATGGCGAATTTTGTACAGTACTTTTGTTTACTTTCAGCAAAGGACTTGTAAAAGTAAAATCAACAAGAATTTTCCAAAAAAATAACAAGTACGGTTAGTTACTGAAGAAAAATGAGATAATAATACGTCAATCGCCGATTTTGCACCATTGCAGCAGACAATCAATCAGAAAAATTAGTTAAATGTGGTAATAAAAAGTTGTTTTGCCAGTAAAAAAAAAACGGAAGTCAGAAAATGATTTTTTTTAATCCGTTTATTTAACGTAAATGCAGGTGTTTGAAACTAAACTATTTATTTAATTAATTAAAGCTGTTAAATTATGTACTCAAAGCTTACATTACTCTATGTCCTAAAGAAGGAAACAATCACGTCATTAAAGTTTTAAAAAATAATCAAAGCTACATGCTGCACTGGAAAGTGATTATTTTTAAAATCCAAAGGCCACTATCACGGAAAAAAAATCCAGTGCCTTTTTTTCGGCTTCAAAATAAAACCTAATAATTAATTCAAATAAAGACAATCTTTTTCTATGAAATAAATTTATCTGACATTATCCCGTCATATAAACAACGTGAGCAATTATTGGTTGATTTTTTTTCCCGGATTAATTTTCAACTTATAAATAAGTTTTAAAAAATATATAAAATTATATTTTTAAATAAATATGGTTGAAAATATCGAAATTTGAGTTTTATTTCTTATTTCTTTTTGTGTACGTTTGAAGAAAAGCAAGATACATGTAGCATCTGTAATGTCCGGCCGATCAAAAGCCATACACAGTGTATAAAATGTGTAAACACCTGGCTAAGGTTTCAATCGCCTTTGGACATGAATAGCAGACAGTTCACGCGTGTTATTTGGGCATCAGTGTTACACATCATTTACCATGCTGGTCGAAATGGCATTCATTTCGTTCTTCAGACTGCAAAACCCTTGTTTCAATAAATATGGTATATATGTTTTTCAGGATTATGTAATTATTAAATATCTGAGGTAATCACTTGCACGATTTACATGTATATGCACAGTGATGTAAGGGCTCAGGAAATATTTAAGTGAAATTGTTTTACATTGCGTAAAGATTCTTACAATAATTATATCGACAAGTCAATGAAAATGATAGCAAGAAAATATTAGTAGGCAAAAATTTGATAAAGAATTAACTGTCACCAGATTCATGATATATTTTCTAAAGCTTCAACGTCAATGAAAAACGTATACGGAGTAATATGGGAATCGGTCTTGCTCTATAATTGTAGGACCTATTTCAAAGTCATTAAATTCTAGACTAAGTCTAAAAATAAACCATTCATTTTATTTAGCACATAATTATTTTTTTATTAAAAAATATATGGTAACTATTATCAATAAATCAAATCTAATAAACAATTGGTTTAATTTGGTGTCAAATTAATATGCTACAGATGTAAATATTTAGTGTGAAAGTATCTTTTCTTCTATTATTATTTTTTTCTTATGTATACTGTAATTTTAATAATTATTCAGAAATAATTGTCACATACGAATTGTAAATACGCTGTACATGTGACATGTATAACACTTTTCCCCCTGAAAAAGTGTGTCATTAATTTCAACTGCTTTTATATTACTGACATTGTTTGTTGATACAATGTGTAATCTCAGTTACGACTAAGCTCTGCCCGTTGAATTATTAACCCCGCCTACTGGGACTGCTGAGACTGCTCTCTGGGATTGCTTGGGATACTTTCTGGGACTGCTGGGACCGCTTTGGGACTGCTCTGGGACCGCCCTTGGACTGCTTTGGGACTGCTGTGGGACCGCTGTGGGACTGCTTTACCAATCCCAAAGCAGTCCCAGAAAGCAGTTCCAGGGACTGCTCTGGGGCTGCTTTCTGTCAGGGTGGGTCTGTTTGGTACTGTATCTTAGAATAATTGATCACTTAAAAAAAGGGGATAAGCAGTATTAAAAATAGAATTAATATTTTCAAAATTATGAGAAGGCAAACTGAATTTCATATATATTCAATTAAAATAAGATTGTATTCTCTTTTTTCAAGTAGATATCAGAACGGTAACTGATGTCATGCTATATATTTATAGATACAAATTTAATAATGATTCTGAAATTTTGAAGTACTCAAATCTGGACTGTTAAATTTGTTCCTTACATTGTGTTCATTTAAATATTCAGATAAGACAATGAAATTGATATTTTGTACAATATTCAAAAGAAATTGTTATTGTTGCTGACGACTTCCACTAATGCAAATTTAATGTTAAGTAACACTTGTGATATAACTTATGAATCATCCTTTATTTTAATTATACATAGGTTCATGATGTTCCCTGCAGTTGGCTTCATTGCCATTCTCACCTGACAAGTTAAAAAAAAAATGCATTAATCTTGTTAATTATGATAAAAATAGCGGTAATTGATATGCACACAATGCATAAAAAGTTATGTAATTATGTCATTTATATTATGTATTTATAGTGCACGTACAGAGGAGAAATGTAAAACTAAGATATAAATAAAAAAGATAGCCATAACTTTGTATTTAAGAAAATACACTTTAAATGAAAAAAAATATGACAAATTTGGAATTATTTTTCGTTTTGACATTTCTTTGTTTTACTTTGGTAAGTATTGACATTATTTTTTATATATTGTTTAAATGATTTATTTTTGCTCATTGAAATAATTTGTTAATATTTACACTGGTTTGGCATGTACTTAAAGGCCGGGTCGCAGGGAGTTAGATCTACTTCAAAAGAGGAGGAAGGTAACCAAAAAACAAGGTAAAACTCTCTCTCTCTCTCTCTCTCTCTCTCTCTCTCTCTCTCTCTCTCTCTCTCTCTTAGCCAACTTTCAAAAAAAAAATTGCATTAATCTAAATCACTTCTCTTAGAGACTCTCTTAGACGGTGCTCAAGCAGAAAGACGATCCATCGTCTTGATGGAAATTCAAATGAAAAGCAGGTATAACTCTCTCTCTCTCTCTCTCTCTCTCTCTCTCTCTCTCTCTCTCTCTCTCTGTGTGTGTGTGTGTGTGTGTGTGTGTGTCAAATTATTAGCTCACCTAAGCCGAAGGTTATTTGTGCTTTTCTGATCGTAACTTGTCCTTTGTATGTCGTTGTCGTTGTTGTCGTCGTTGTTGTCGTTTTCATTGAAGACTTTTCAAAATTTCATCATCTCTAGAATCTCTGTGCCACTTTCAACCAAGCTTAAAACAGAGTAACCTTCGGTAAAAGGAATTCACATTTCTTAAAATATAGGGGAAAGTAATCAAGAAAAGGAAAAAAAAAAACAATTGGTTTCATTAAAAATTTCTCAAGAACCACTGGGTCAAAAAAGTAGAATTTTAGTGAAACCGTCTGACATAGTGTAGCTTGTGGGTAATGTTGGAGCCCGAGCAGGGTAAGAAATTTTAACATGAAAATACAAAGTAAATTTCTTGGATTTTTTTCTCTCTCATGACCAGCGGGACCATGATTAGATATATTTCTATTACGCAAGCCTCCGCAAGCGTTGCAGAAATCATGCCCCTGGGCGTAGGGTGGGACCACAATAGGGTTAAAATTTATACTGGAGTTTATAGGGCATTTCTTTAAAAATCTTCACAAGAACTACATGTATTATTAGAGATATTAATATGCAAGTATACCCAGGGCTTGTTGTAAAGTAAAACTCTGGTATAAAGAAGTCACTTGGACCTCCATATTTGCTTCTTTATAAGGCAATCAAAATCAACGTTAGAAACTTATTCACTATTCATTATTCGAATAGCGAACCGTATTCAGAGTTGGGTTCACTATTCAAATAACTGTAAGTGTCCATTTTTTTTTTTTTTTTAAAGTACTAGATTGTCTCAATTTAAGGAAAAGCTAATCAAAGATCTCACTTACAAAAGAGAGACAGAACTCCAAAACCAATATAGCTCTCCCGCCATCCTGGATTAAAAATTTTGACATTCATCTGTGGACAGGGAAGAGGTCTGGGAGGGAACCCTGACTTTCAAAAGGAATTGTGTTTACAAGACAGGTAACTTACTTAGTTCTCTCAACCACGACCAAAACATAGTAATGGGCAGTGTAGTTCAAACGCAACTTGGTTGTCTGGAATGTTAGAAGTACTCAAGACTGAAATATTATTTTGAATTATGTAAATAAAATCCCTGTAACTTTGATCCCCCTTTTATACATATGTATATCTGATATTCCTTAAAAATATTAGCTCAATAAATATCAAGCTCGGAAACATCGTAGTTCTTCACTCCAGGTTCTGAGATTTTTAGGTTCAGGCACAAGTTGTCAACGACCTCTACTCCGCAGCCTGGGACTATAATTTCAAAGTGGGATTCTAGTCGTCAATTTACATCAGTCAATTAAAAAAATCCTAGAGAACTTTTCTTTGGAAATAAAACATTACAAAATGACGTCAACTGGATTCATATGTCGTCCCTCCATTCTTCTCACAAACCTTTATTACTTTAACAATCCATAACATCATATTTATTGTTATTTAATGAGTTTAATATGTTCTTATTTATGTTTTACACTTTGCGTTGTCTACCTTATAAGTAAATCCCCACCCGGCCCTTTATACTTAGGTAATTATGTAAATTCTTTTCATAACTTTTGGGGAAAGTATTTATATAATCTAATTTATTGGGTTTATTGAATACATTTATTTCAACAAAATGCACTGATTTCATTCAAGATAATGATTTTCTTTATCTTAAATCTAATGAATTCATAAAGTAGTATCAGAATAAATTGCTTGTTACAAACTACATGTGTATTTGATTGACTGATACAAATAGAGAGCATATATTTTATCGGTATGGGAACAACCCCTTGACATCTAGCAGCTGTACTTTTATTTATTTTTACAAATTAAATTTTACACGTATCTATCTGTATTTCCATTCGTTATGAATGTTTTTAAGAAATGAGACTAATTTTTACTAAGCAATTATTAAGAAAGAGCTAATTGCGCCAAAATTATGTTATATCGTTTAATATAAGTAAAAATTAAACTGGAAAATAATTTAGTTTGTTATTTTTTTTTATTTTGCACAACGATTTTGAGAGCATGACGTGAGAAAATTCTTGAAGGTTGGTCGAGAAAATGGACCAGTGGAGAAAATGGCAGTAATTCGAATATTATCCTCATAAATGCATGTAGTCACGTTAGTAAGAAAATATTTCTTTATAAATCATGGTCATGCCCCCTCTCCCCCCCCCCCCCCCCCCCCAATTAATTTTGCTGATTTTTAATACATTGGTAACCTAACAACAAAACTTTATGATAAACATGATGACGTCAACCTTTCTGTAAACTTCCATTACTTATGTAGCAATATACCATTTCAACCTGCGTATTGAATTTATGTCTCCCTGTTAATTCGATACGCAAGAGCATCCTCTACGTACGAACATTCTTTAAAGTTAGAGGTGAAGTAAGCTATTGAAACAAGAATATCAACAGACTCGTTTGAAGTCAACATTTGGCAAATTATATAGTCGATACAATGACCTTGTCAGCAAATACAATCTATCATAAAGTCAAATGTTGACTGACATTTTCATTCAAATTATTATTTTTTTTTCACACTGAATTGTCTACGGATTTTTCCGTTAGTCCCTTCATGACAAGAAGCAGAAGGCGGGTGTCAATGAGTTTTTGCCAGGTACTACCCTCCAAAACTCAAAACGTTTAATTGTGCCCCCCCCCCCCGCTCCGATTGAAATTGCGTCCTACGGGCCTGAAATTTTTATTGAGTAAAAATATTAAATATCAAAAGAACATCTTGTGTTGAATAATACAACTACTGATTTCTTTTAAGTATTTGATATGATCTACTACAGCTCACAAATGCTCTATCGGAACACCACCACCACCCCACCCCCCACCCCACCCCCCTTTATTTCAAAGTTGCAGGATCAAAATGGGGAATCTCCTCTTAAAACAATCCAAACGACCAACATTTCTTATTGATTATGTTTAATGGACAGATTTTTGATAATGCTGACTTTTTTCCCTCTGGATTCATTTTAAAATGGAATGTTGCAGGGATGTTCAAATTCACTGTACTTTACGGCTCTAATAGAATTATGAGGAAAATAACGTATTTCATGGAATTCAATTTGAAATCATATGAAAAGTAATCCCGATACCTATATTAAATTTGATATTATTTCAAAGAAGAGGCCAAGAACATACAAATTACCGTTTTCTGGGAGACTATAGGCAATAAGGATACATTTCCTTTGTCTGATAATCAAAAAACTCCCATATTCATGACTGGTTTTCTTAATTTCTTATTGAAAATGACAGTTTAAAATATGTTTTTTTCATTTTGTTTCATACCAATTATGTCCCGAAACACCCTATTTGACAAAGCTTAAGTTATAAAACACCATTAAAGGAATTTATTGCTCAAATTTGAGAAATCTGTAGGCACCATTCATTTACTAGATCTTGGCCTTAAGCAACAATCATTCAAAAAATGCACATGCCTCTGACTAGATATGAGACTCAAATTTTGGGATTCTGTATGATATCCAGTCCCATGTACAAAGTTCACTTTGTAAGAGTATTTTGGTGTGGCTAGCTACTTTCTGTCTTGTTTGTAAGTGAGGTCTTCCATTCGCTTCTATAACATGTGTTAATTTGAGTCGATTTAATTTCTTGAAAAAAAAATTATTAGGACACTTACGGTGATGTAAATAGTGAACCAACCATAGAAGATTTATTGAATAGTGAATAATAAAACGTGAATAAGTTTTTAACTTCTGATTGACTCTTTGTAACCGAGTTTCTTTATATCCATATATTTACATTTACAAATGTTTTCTTTTATATAACACTATTAAAAGCAACGCGTATCTATATCCGTATAAACACGGGTTCCTCGCGTCATAAACGTTCGACATAATTACTCAGTGAGGTCATAAAGGGTCGACGCGCAATCAATGGATCAAATACGTGTCGTTGAGCTTGAAAAAATAAAACATTTCAAGCGTTAAAGATTATAATCAGGAAAGTATAAAATATGAATAAGTCATAAATGTAAATATAAGTAATAATGTATCATTTTTAAACATCTATCGGGATATAAATACGGGTTGGTACAAGATCAAATTTACAATAAAGCACTTCGGGCTTTATGGAATTTGATCTCGTGTCGAACCCGTATTCATATCCCGATAGATGTTTAAAAATGATACATTATTTCTTAAATAAGGAAAATAGTGAAAAGTCTTCTAAGGAATTCGTTAAAAAGTTCTTTATAACCGAGCTTTTCTACTTGGTGAGTTCTTTATAACCAACTCTTACTGAATCTAGTGATAAAATATCAACATGACCCCCAGGGGCAGGGTGTGGCCCCAGTAGGGAATTAGATGGGAATTAAGAGGAAATTGCGTTCAAAATGTTATATACTAATCTAGCAGGACCATGATTAGTGATATTTATATGCAAGTATCCGCAGAGAATGAAGGTTCTAATCTGTTCAAAACGTATGTGGACCTCGGTGAAAGGGTGGGGCTACAAAAGGGTATCAATAGTTTTACACGGGAATATATAGATAAAAATTCTTACTTAATCTTCCTTTATAAAGAACAATAGGGCTATGATTGGTGATATTAATATACAAGCATTGTAAGGTCATGTATATTGAAATTGTTCGGCCCCTGGATGGTTGGTTGGGGCCACAGTAGAAAATCGAACAAAATATCTTTTTTGAAATTCTTTTCAAAAAAAATCGTGATCAGTCATTTTAAACGCAAGCATCTTCAGGTAGTGTAGATTCAAGTTTGTTCAAAGCATTGCCCCCGAGCTAAGATGGCTCTGTGTTCTGAAGAAAAACAGTGCCAAGGTTTCTCAGGTGAACGTTTTAATCTATTGGTCTCTTTTTGAAGTCGGACTCAAGCGAATCCAAAGAATCTCAAAAATCTGATGAAAGTTATTTAAAAGAGGACCAAGCGTTGGCGGTCAGTAAAACTGAAGAGAGTGTGAATGTTAAAGATACAGACTCAATGACAATACCCAAAGAAGACAAATCTCCAATGATTACTGACGGTACAGACCTAACGCCAATTCATCAAGACACAGAAACTATGGATAGGACTGATGAAATATGCTGGGATTTTGAAAAGGAACGTTGCAAGGAAGTCCCCGAGTTATCATTGGTACGGGCAACGCTGTTTATGTATTCACCGCGCTTCCCTGCGGTGTTAATATCATCGTGATTAGTACCGGTGTCTCAGGTAAAAAAAAAAAACGCGTGCCCCCGCGGTTCGAACATCCAGGTAATCCTTTCAACCTATGGATCATGGATAGAAAAAAATTCTTAAGATAAATTGCGAGTTGTCTCCCTTGAAAATTATAAAACAAAACAAAAGAAAAGAAACTAAACATGGAGAAAGAGAGAATGAAAGAGAGAAAAATAAAGAATGAAAAAATTGACTAAAAAAATATAAAAAATAAAATACGTCTGAAACGTCAAATTATAAATGTGTAACCTACTTTTCTTAACGTAAGGCTATATGTTTGGATAATTATTATATTCAGATTCACTTAACGATCTCCTGGTCTTGATTAGATCGAATAGCTCTATTTGCTCGGTAACGTTGGGATAACACTGAGGGCTATCCTAAATACCCTCAGTATTACGGCAGGCTATTTTACCGACAGGTGAAGTTTATATCATAAGATAAGATACCCGAAGCAATGCAGGTGTGAATTCCTCAGGGCAGAAATAATGATATTTCTTTTACACTTGGAAAAGCCATCATATGGAAAACCGATTCATCTTTGTTTTTTAACAAATAATGAAATAATGCAACCTCTTTTTTTCAATACGTAGCCTAATTTGTATACTATTTGCATAGTTTACCTGTCTTTAATCTGAATGATCATAATAAAATTGAATATCGTAGATATATATTTATCAGTGCATAGAAGCTACAAATCTCCTCTTACACGCATGTTTGTATCTTAATTAGTAAACAAAATATTTACAGTTTTTCTTCTATAGTTATGTATGTGAAAAAGTGATTCTTTTGTATCCAACAATTAAGACAGGGAATGTCTAAGGTGCAGGCAACTTATAGAAGTTGAAGAATAAAAAGGGATGTCAATTTATTTTTCGGGGGGGGGGGGGGCTACGTGTTCTGATTCCTATTGATCTTTTCAAGCAAATTTCTACATCTACGGTGCATGTTATTTTGATACAAGAAACCCTCTTTTAATTCTGAGGTTAATGGTCAAGGCTACATGATAACTATACAAGATAGATGTTTTAAATAGGTTCGATGCTGAGTTTTGGGGAGATTTTTGTCCTGACCTCTGTTTAAAAAATCTGCATAATAGTTTAGTATACATGTATAAATAAATTTGGATTCTACAATGCCATTTATTTAAACTATAATCAATTAAAATCACACAATTAAAGTCCACATCAAAACCTTTAATTCAGGAACTCTATTTTGTGGCGGAAGTATTTTTTAGAGGATAATGTTCATTTTTTTCTCTTTCATGTAAATGTATTTACAACACCGCTAAATTTGGATTTCTATTTTTTCATGAAGGCTGCACACAGAGCTATTTTGTGCTTTGAAATGTTTTATGCTGTTCCCAAATTATTTTTCAATTAACTGTCACGGGTTCTGTCATCATAACATCATCGTGACAAATATAGCAAAAATATTGTGAAAGTCCAGAAAAAAAATAGCCCAATTTAAGCTTAAAATTAATATTATTTAAGTTATATCTAAAATTTACATAACAAACCTCCACTTTTCATTTTCGTTTCTGAAAATATAAGACATTTTCAACCATTCTGCTTTAATTCAGTAAAATCTAATACTTTAAAATGATTGTATTGCTTGTTAAATATTTGATGCCAGAAAAATATTTTATAAGTCCATAAGGGTCAAATAATTGACTCTACGAATTAATTTGAAACTTTTTCATTGCCATAAATTTCAGGTGTCTATTGATTGATTGATTGATTGAACGTTGTTTTACGTCCCGTTCGAGAATTTTTCACTCATATAGAGACGTCACCATATACCGGTGAAGGCCTTCAAATTTGCACCTTTACTCGGCACTCAGGGCCATCAGGCAATGAGGGCCGTTTATTGTACCAACGCCTACAGTGACACAGGGCCTCAGTTTTTGAGGTCTCATCCGAATGACCAACAACTTTCACTTCAAAGTGCCGAGCTCTTGGCGAAGGAACAGTTGCTACCTATTTTTTATCGACTTAGGTCAGTCGTGGCCGTGATTTGAATACACGACCTCCCGATCACGGAGCTTCATGTGTCTATTCAAGATAAAATAAGACTGTATTTGGTCCCATGATTTATTTGGATGAAAAAGATTGGAGGAAAAACTTTGAAAATTTGATTTATTTGTTAGACGTAACTACAGTGCAAAAAAGGTCAAATTAAATGCTCTGTAGCGCCAAGAAGCGCATTAACAACCATTTTTCCTTCTACCGACTGAGCTACCGTGAACGATCAGTACTTATTGAAGGACAGCAATTTGATTATTTCATTTGCACATTGAAAGCAAAGTATAACTGAATTAAAAAAAAGTGTGATACGGAATTATGAAAACAAAGTTAAGGCACGTTTTAAGAAAATAATAACCGATTTATTTTCCGACTCTGCATTTAAATAACAGACACAGTTTAAGGTCAATTTAACTATGGAAACATAGTAACATGAGGTTATTCAAGTTCAAAATCAGTGAAAATTTTAATTTGAACGTAAATAACATACAGTACCGACCAGACACAACCTTACAGAAAGCGAACCCAAAGCGTACCCCGGGTTCGCTTTCTGGGTTCGCTTGGGGTTCGCTATAGCTGACCTCGAGCGAACCCGGAGCGCACCCCGAGCAAACCCGGAGCGAACCCGCAGCGGACCCAGAGCGAACGCCGAAAAGGAACCCCAAATTCAGTAGCGAACCCGGGAAGCGAACGCGCGTTCGGTGTTGCGTAACAGAGCTGTCAATCAGGATTAGCGATAAGACAATCAGTGCGTTGACCTGTCAGCATGCCAGTTTGTCATTCGATGAAATTAAAACATTGTACAAGCAAATTGTGTTAATGTACAGAGTGAAATTATTATTAACATGATTATGAAAATTATATTTATCTTTTAATTATCCAGATGGCATGTTATATTTACACATTTATTTTCTTTATTTTTTATTTTATTTCTTCAGTGTTCCAAAGTCGATGAATTGCAGCAATAAATATTTTCAATCTAAATTATCTACTAATAAAGCTTTATTTCTTTTTAAAAATATCCACTCCTAAATATTTTTTACTATTTTGTGTAAAAAAAATCGTGCATTTGCGCTAACAGTCGTGAATGATCGTGTAACGTGAAGAATCGTGTGCGTGAAGGATCGTTCGTGTAACAGGTTTAATCGTAGGGAATCGTTCGTGTAACGTGATCGTTCGTGTATTGTCAACAATAACGTTGCAGCCACTGTACATGCACATGTATCGATCGCCGCAAAAACAACAATGATCGATTTCATTACTGTATTTGGAATATACAATGGGCGGAGCTTACTGGCGGCAGGATTGAAGCGGTGTCTGCTTCACGCATGAGTGCGTAAAGCGAACCCAGAAAGCGAACGCCGGGTTCGCTCTAACGGACCCAGAGCTGACCCCCAGCGAATGCAGAGCGAACTCAAAATTTCTGAAAGCGGACCCGTAGTGGACCCTGAGCGAACCCAGATATGCGCTTTGGGTTCGCTCTGGTGTTAGGTTGTGTCTGGTCGGTACTGTATATGATGTTTATATACACTCATTTCGTATTTTTATTTTTAGCTCAGATACGCCATATATAGATTTAAGAAAGACCATGTCCATCTGCATTACCATACTTTGACAAGATCATATCAAACGAATCAAACCGGTCGCGGTAACGTAGTGGTTGGACATTCGCTTCGTGACCAGAAGGCCGGGTTCGATTCTCTTTCGCCGTACATGTTGCATCATACCTTAAACGTAAACATAGGTAGAGACTGTTCCTTTGCAAAATTCCCGGCATTAGAAGTGAAAGTTACAGGCCTTTCAGATAAAACCTTAAAAACCGAGGTCTTGTGTCACGAAGGGCATTGGTACGATAAAAAACGCTCACTGCTCAATGGGCCTGAGCCCTTTATATTATGACGTCTCTATATGAGTGAAAATTTTAAAGTGGGACTTAAAACGGCAGACAATCAATCGATCAGTTGAACTACTAACAGTATATGAAGAAGATAGTCAACAGTAAGTCACACAGCTGCGAAGAATTCGGGCTACTGGTTGAACCGCGATGAACTGACCGCAGGTTGTGGAGAGCGGTTTAATACATAATCTGCGTTGGCAGCACTGTATTTTTGTCTTAATATACAAACCATATGTTTATTTCAAGACAAAACAAGTGGTATAATTAGAATGTATTTCAGATCAAGTCATATTTATGTCTTTTTTCGCTATTAAGTAGTTAATTGAATACTCAAGCTAGTATTATCAGACTGGTTTTTTTTTTATTTTCAGTGGGGAACCCGTTGTGACAGTGACGCTATTTGTGAAGGTAAGTTCCTTCTATCTTTGTTGGTAATATTTGTTGAATAGAAACACGCGTATAACTTTGAAATTACTCAGACTTCTATATATCCCAAAAAATTTTATTAAAAGCAAATATTACGTTTGTGTCATAATAACATTTCTAAATTTAAAAGTATCGCTATTGAATTTGAAAAATACTTATAGTTTTCAAAAAAAAAGTTCTACGGTAATGTTTCATAAGAAATCAAAGTTCATATAAAGTTTCAAAGTATCTCCAAATTCTACACTGGATATACGACGGGATTCTGTAAATTTAAAAAAATTAAATAAATTTATGAAAAAGGGATTTGCGGGAATCAGATGAAATAAATTAAAGCAAGTGTAAAACGCCTATTTATATGAATAGCTTAAGCTCTTGCTCAGACATGAAAGGAAATAATCTGCAACGTTTTCAATCTGCTAAGAGATGAAAGAGGGAAAACAATAAAAAGAATGAATTTTAAAAACAACATAAAGAATCTACCTTTTTGCATAATCAAATTATTTATTTAACCTGATAAGTATCGATCAATTATTTTTTCTTCTAAATTGTGTTCATTAAAAAATGCATTTGATGTAAAGCCATTATCCTCATTAGTAGTAGTAACATGCATACGTATCTAGAAATGCTCATGTGTTATTGTTTTTTTTCTTTGTTTAGAGCCTGAACCGTACCAAAACGGAAAATGCTGTGAGATACCTTGTGATAATTTTCACAAGGTTTGCCGGTACCCAACAGATGATTTCAGAAATTCTTTTATTACAGAGTACTATTGGTCAAAATAATTTTATTGATCAAGTGCTCATACGACGAATTGAATGAAACTTTCTTTTTACCTCGAAAATTGAAGAAATAAACCTATCCACATCCATTGACATTTTGATTATTATTCTCTGAGTTTATGCCTCTTGTTTTGAGATATTTTAAAAACACAGATTTTAATTATACGATTCCGTGTGATCTAAAAACAAAAGGCTTATGGTCCTGAAGTATTGAGGAAACGTCTACCTTATATGAAAGACTGATCCCTGTATCTCGTTTTAACGTCTGCAATTCTAAACCATCCATTAAACTAATGAATATAAAAATCAACCTTAGATACAGAAATCCATAATTAAGAAAAGAAAATTTATTACTCCTATAATATGTTTCATCACTCCAAAAGAATGATTACTTTAAAAAATATTTGTCTAACAGGTTAGGGAAAACTCAAAGAACAATTATCACCGTGCAAAATTGACTTTTTGAACAAATATTGTTTTGAACTTTTAATTTATCAGAGATTTATCTACTATTTTTCCTAACATAAACTGCAAATCGAATTATTCCTGGACAATGTGTTACTGAATTATTTTCTTAATTGCACAATGACATTTTCTGGACAATCGTTGAGAACATACAAATAAGCAGAATGTGACCGCCATCACTACCTTCTGATACCTTATTAAAACATTCATGAAATTATTTCATTGATCTTTCTTTCATGCCCATCCTATCAAGTCCCTTCAAGGAACAATTTTATTTCATCATTCAATTTGCTAATTGTTGTCAAAGAACTGTTTTATATACCAGTGTCTGAATTGTATGTAGCAGTTCGGGGGCCAGCCGCATTACCGGCCACTTCTGTCTGTCTGTCTGTCTGTCTGTCTGCAATAATTCCTTGATTGATAAAATAACTGCTAATCCTTAAAAAATAATAAATTCGGAAACCGTATTACTCGTTATTTTGGACTTATTTATTTTCCGAAAGAACCCTAGGAATACAGATTTACTTTTTCTTGCCCACGGCGCCGTTCATTCACCTAACAACATTCCCTCTTACCAGTTCAACGTCATATTATTTTGGACCCAAACTTCGTGGTCATAAATGGTGGATGAATCCTTAGGGTACAACGCCCTAATTAAGCTGCTCCATATATTTTGAACTAGTCTGATGCTGTACCTTAACCCTATGGCGAGTTCCCAAACGTTATCTTGACTTCACAGCAATAATGATGAACAACTATCAATTTCGGACAGCATTGTCAATATGTACCTTTCCTCCAACGTGTATTATTTTCCCTCGGATTGAAATGTCACACATTCACTGGTTTAAACGCGACCCGTGACTCTCGGCTATATTTCTATGTCCCGCAGGTTAGAACTGATATTTGGAATATGGCCGACGTGTTTCGTTTACATTTCGATATTAAAATCATTTATTACGGAAACCACTTTCCATAATGATTTCATTTTGAAATTAGAGTAGCGGGCCTTTTAAAAAATGGCGTCAGATTCGTTGTGACTGCATCACAAGTGATGGTAGCGTCAAGATTCGCTCAAACAAGAGAGTGAAAATGTATTGAATTAGAATTTAAGCAGAAACAAATTATTAAAAGGAAATAAAGATGGTCAAAGAATTATCAAGCTTGCATGACGGTAAAAGGTAACATTGATAATTTTGAAGAGTTTGACTCCATATGTGAAATTGGACGAATCACGCTACTGTCGATAGATAATTGAGATGTTAGGACACTTTAATTTTGAATTGATATATGTTAAATTCAATAACTTGATCATTATTTCTTGCAGGACCGTTGTACTACAAGGTTCGGGAGGAGGGTCCCATTGTTTTAAGAATAGTGTTTTGTTGTATAGTATTGTATATCATTCAAACGCCATACCCCCCCCCCCTTCCCACGCACACACTCACACTTTTTTACAGTGGGCTGGAAAGTGTGTCATGTTATTTCATTAAAAATTCCCAACAATTTAGAGAAGGATTCTAGCGCCGCCCGAGTTCAAACAGTTAATGTTTTTGTCTGGTTTGTCTTTTTTTTTTTTTTTTTTTTTGGTGCCTCCCCCTTTCATAAACGTTCCTATGGGCCTCTCTTGTGTTCATGTCTCTTACACTATGATCCTCGAGAAAATAAATCACTCATTGGGTTTGTTACTGGCTGTGTACAGAAATATATTGGCCGGTTTGATCAATCTCATAAAGGGCAAGGTAATGAGAGCATCGCCGTCTATGAGATTGATCAACCCGATATATTTCTGAACACAGCCAGTAACAAACCTAAAAAGTAATGAAAGACAACATAAATATCGTTTCAACAAGTGCTTTTAATGTCATAGACCTGGACACTTCGCCAAGAATTGCACTTTTTGCTGTGAACAAAAGTAAATGTCTAAACAGGTACGTGATCATTGCAGAATTCAAAAATGTTTCGAACAAACAAAAAAAACAGCTTCTCAAGTAATTTCCGTTTACAACATCAGAAAATCGGCCTTAAGTCATTTTATTGACTTTTCATCTGTTCTTAAACACAAACTTTCCAAGACAAAACAAACTAGAAAGATTCCCAGGATAAACTGTTAGGATTAATTTCAAAACTTCGTAAAACAGAAAGTGAATTGAAGTAGACCTGAAATCAAAATTGTTTGCTTGAAGAAACTTCCCGACGGAAAATCTCAGAACCTCAATCCAAACTGAAACACGCGTCCAAGAAAATAGTTTGTAGCGGCAATTTGAGGAGCTACAGAAACAACTCGACTGATTTCAGCAAGTTCACAAAATGGCTTCGGACAGAATTCATGGGGACAAAAGCTTCCAAATGTGTGGTTTTTACAGTTCCGGTTTATACAATGAACCTCCTCTACTGATGACTTTTCATTTACAACCGCGCGTCGTTATCTTGCATAAATCGAAGTATAAATTTAAGGATGAAGTTTGGATGAAATATATGGAGATAACGAACAGTATTCAAGCTCAAAAGTCCATAATCAATACAAAATAGGAGCAGAGCAAACACGGACCTCCAAACATCAGAGGTGGGATCAGGTGCCATGGAGGAGTGAGCATCCCCTGCCGACCGGTCACACCCGCCGTGTGCTCCTTGTCATGATCGGGAAATAACGGAAAAATCCGTCGACAATTCAGTGTGTAAATAATGGCCTAACAATTAGTGTGAAAAACGTCAGTCAGCATTTGACTCAATGATAAATTGTATTTGCTGACAAGGTCATTGTATCGACCATAGAACTTACGAAATGATGACTTTAAAGGAGACAGCTGATATTCTTGTTTCATCAACTTATTTGTCAATAATTTACCTCGTTTTAGAAATTGTACATACGTAGAGCATGCTCTTGCGTATCGAATCAACTGAGAGATATATACCCCGTATGCAGGTGATGAAGGTATATTGCTGCACAAGTAAGGGAAGTTGACGATTGAAAAGTTAAATTCATCACGTTTATCATAAAGCTTGGTTGTTAGATTACCATTAACGTCTTTTTCAAGTAAAATATCCAAATATGAAACAGATGTGTCAGACTCTGTGGTATCTTTTATCTCAAGTTCACAAGGATATATCGTATCGACACAAGGATATATCGTATCGTCGTATTTATTTAAAAAAAAATGGCTGATTTCTTTTTTTATTTGGGGGTTACTCATTATAAATGCCTTCATTGTACAAAACTCCGTATAATCTTCAACTTGTTTAAAAATAATTTAATTAAAGGATACGTCGATGAACTTTACAAACATGATATAGGGATATTGAAATTATACTAATGAATATTGACTCGAGTTGGCTGTACAAATGCATTTTTACAGGAAATGAGTGCCAATACTCAACAATATAAGGTCTATAACGCCTTTATTATATAGCTTAAACATTTTCCAATATATTTTTATTAGTTATTTAAATGAAATTAAATTAATGAGAACTATTCAATATCGGTGTATACATTTAAAGTGTGCAATATCAGCGTATATTCTGGAAGTGTTCAATATTACATATCATTCAAGTGACCCTACCAAACGTTATTATTTGCTTATTGAAACTTATAGGCACAAAATTATTAGTTAATAAATTAAAATTTTGAGTGGAAAAAGACACATCCTACCTAGCTGCTACTACCCATCTTAAGACCAGACGACAGTTTTTGTGTACAACGGCGCGTTCGATATTGAACGCTAACATGTACATACAGAATGTTCCGGATCATACTCGTGTACGTTATGCAAACTCAGCGTTCGTTAGAGAAATACCAACATCTTACGAACGAAGGTAACTCGCCCTAACTTCCCGTATCTCCGTTTCAGGCAGTACTCCTGTATCGGGGGTAGTTATTGTTTAAAAGTTTAAAATAGGAAGAAGTGTATGTTAATTATAGAATGGATACAGGGTTTTTATTCACTCTGGAAATTCTTATTTTCTTATTTTCTATATTCAATTCAGAGTCTATAAAAGCAGACGAACTGAACAGATGAAAATAAAACCACAATACCTACATATGAATCATGTTTGTCAAGTCAATGATTTAACTACAGTTCATTTGGACGAAAAGTTACTTTTACCATGAAGAAATCTAAATTCACATCCTGTATCAATGTTCATAGGCGACAAGACACTGGGACAAGGCGCTTAATCTCTTGTCAAATGTTAATGTGTGTTTGTGTCTGTGTGTGTGCGTGAGAGAGAGAGAGAGAGAGAGTAGCAAAGTCTCCGTTGATTTATGAACAATAACTGTTGTAAAGAATAAATGCCAGTCGGGGGACGTACCTGAAAACAATATTACCAAACAAACAAAGGGTGACACTACTTTGGAAAACATTTTTTTCTAAATTGCCTCCGATAATTGGTGCTGTTTTTTTTTTTACTTTTATCACAAGTTCATTCTCATAGGATTTTGTTTTCATAAAAATGATTAGTCACGATGGTTTTGGCGTGAATTTGATCAAGGCAAATATTGTGGAATTTAAACAGTGTAAAACATGGAATAGCTAGGTGTAAACACGTGATAAAAAGCATCTAGTTGTGTGTTTTATCCCCTTGCCAAGGCTTCGGGATAAAACACATAACTCATTGGATAAAAAGTAATTTCTAA